GGCATTCTCATTAAGTCAAGAAACAGGACAAGGAAATCTTTTATTCCTGATATTATTCAATATTTTTCTGGAGGTTCTAGATAATGTAATAACACAATATAGAAATACCTCAGAGATACTGCAGGTTCGGTTCCAGACCACCATAATAAAGAGAGTTTCTCAATATTGCGAGTCATAATCTTTTAGGGTGGTGGGTCTTTGTCTTCAATCTGCAAATAGGACAATATCTGTGAAGTGCAGTAAGTGAAGCTCAATAAAATGAGGCCTGTCCATTTAAAAAAGAAAAATAGGAGGCATGACAATTAGAAAAGACAAAACAAAATTATCACTGTTTACAGATGTGATTGCCTACCTCTTGCTCTATTATAGAAACAACTGGATTGCAGGCTATATTAATCAGGTTCCCATAACAAATATCACAGACCGGTGGTTTAAACAACAGGAATTTATTTTCTCCTGGTTCTGAAGACTGGAAGTCCAAATTCAAGGTGTCAGCAGGTCTGGATTCTTCTAAGTCCCCTCTCCTTGGCTTGCAGGTGGCTGCCTTCTCTCTATGTCCTCTACATGGCCTTTTCTCTGTGTGAGCACATCCCTGATGACTCTTCCTCTTCTTATGAGGACAGGGCCTCACTTTTATGACCTCATTTAACCTTGATTACCTCTTTAAAGGCCATGTGCCCAACCAAATACAGTTAGTTACATTGGGGGTTAGGACGTCAACATCTGAATTTTGGGGAGACAATTCAGTCCATAACAGGCCATAGCTGGGCTTCCTGATACGTTCCCTGCTGAACTGATCTAGAGAGGGAAGAGAAATAGAAAGGGTGAGAGATAGAGACACAGGATAAGCAAGCATGCGAGACCTCTCTCCCCAGTTTCTTCACTTCTTGGAGAGAAGCAAGAGGGGGAGAAAGGAGCAGTCATGTGACTCTAACACCGGTTCTCAAGCCTGGCTGCTCATTGGAATAACCTGGGGAGCTTTACAAACTCGTCAATGCCTGTGACCCAACCACAGAGATTTTTGAGTTAATTGGTCTGGGGAGAGCCTGGGATGGTGTATTTTTTTTTTAATTGAGATATACTTCACATACCATAAAACACACCTTTTTAAAGCGTACAGTTTAATAGTTTTAGTCTAGTCATAAAGTTGCATGACTCTCACAACATCTAATTCCAGAACATTTTCATCATCCCCAAAAGAAACCTCAGACCCACTAGAAATCATTCCCCACTCCTCCTTATCCCTACCCCCAGGCAACCACCAATTTACTTGGAATTTGTCTATGCCGAACATTTCACATAAATAAAATCATACAGGATGTGGCCTTTTGTGCCTGGCTTCTCTCATGGGCTTGCGTATTGTTTTTAAATCTCTCTTGTTGTGCAGCCAGGTCTGAGAGCCACTGTGCTAGCAGAGGTCCTCCCATGAAAACAAGAGAAATTCCAGAGAAATTCCTTGGAGCCTCACATAGGGTGATTCCACAGCTAAAGAATTCCCAGCAGCTCCAGCAGGAAAAGCTGGTAAACAGCTCCAATGGAGCCAGACTGGGTCACATGCTCCCCTCTGGCCAATCACAGTGGCCAGAGGATAATTGCAAGATCACTCCTTTGAACTTTAGCCTAAGGAAAATAGGGAGTCGCTGATGGATTTTAAGTAGTGGAGGGGGTGGGGGGGGAACATAATTAGATTTAGAACCGTTTGTCTAGAAAGTTCAAACTGAGAAGGAAAATCAATTAACCTAAGACCCAGCGTATTAAGAGTCTCATGCAATGATTCTACTAGTGGGAAAAAAAAAAAATATTCTTTGTTATGGGCTGAATGTTTATGTCTCCCGGAATTTCTGTGTTGGAGCTCCAGCCCCCACTGTGATGGTATTTGGAGGTGGAGCCTTGGAAAGATAATGACATTAAGGTGAGGTCATGAGAGTAGGAGCCCATGATGGAATTAGTGTCCTTTTAAGAAGAGGAAGTGAAACCAGAGCTTTCTGCCCACTGTGTGAAGACGCAGCAAGAAGGCAGTAGTCTGCCGGCCAGGAACAGGGTTCTCATGGAATGCGGCCATGTTGGCACCCTGGTCTTGGACTTCCCGGCCTCCAGAACTGTGAGAAATAGATTTCTATTGTTTAAACCACCCAGTCTATGGGATTTTGTCATGGCCGCCCAACTTGACTAACACATTCGCAAAATCCAATTACCAGTATGCAGGAAACCTAGAAGACTGGGTGAGGATCTAGTTAAATGACACCATGGGTATGTAATCAACAAAAGCCAGACTGTGGTAAACTCTACAGAACAGAAGATGTGTTTCTTTTTTTACTTTCCATAAATAAGTGCAAGGAAAATAAAGAGCGAGAAAGAGAACCAATGAATTAAAAGCCATTTAAAGGTGTGGCAACCAATCACAATGTATGGATCTTATTTAGGTCCTAAACTTTAAAAACTCATGACATTTATGAGGAAATGAGAAATTTGGAAACTAGATATTTAATGATATTAAGAAATTATTTTTAATTCTTTTTAGGTATAATATTTTAAATATCTTTATCATTTAGACATCCATACTGAAATATTTGTGAATGTAATGATAGAATATATGACATTTGCTTCAAAACATGTGATGGCAAATAGATTGGAATAAGGATGCGGCAGGCCTGGTTTGGATTGATGGTTGTTGGTTCTGGAAGTTTGGGAACACCAGAACATTATATTACTCTATCTTCTTTAATAACACCAGAACATTATATTACTCTATCTTCTTTAATGCATGTACAAAATGTTGCGTTAAAAAGTTTAAATTAACAAACATTTATATTTATATCAAAGCTTCCACTTTTACAGTGGTTTGAGTTTTTGTGCACATATAAAAATACAAACACTACATTTCTTTTAAAGAGAAGGAAGAGAAAGAACATCTTCGATTGTGGAGGGAATGACCTGTAGAAAACTGAAGGTGAAAAGCCAATTAGGGGGTTGTTTGAATGACCCCAGGAATGTTGATGATGGCAGGAGGGAAAAAGATAAGATAAAGAGATACTTTGAAAGTGAAACACTGGGTATTTGGTACACGAAGGAATTATTGTCAGTTCTTCCATGCGTGGTGTTTGGCTGGGTGTGGGCAGTGACGGAGATCACTGAGTGTGAGGTTTCTGGGTTGAGGAAGTGGGTGGCTCCTTTTGCTGTAGCAGAAAACATCAGAAGAAGAGAAAGTGCGAAGGGGAACTATGAGTTCAGTTTACACAGAGTGACTTGGAGGGCCCTGTGGGACACCCAGGGGGAGCTGACCCGTTGATTACGAGGTCTGGAAGGAGGCCAGGCAGATCTATAACGCTGGGGCCTCTCAGCACAGAGCAGGTGATTGCCGCCACGCGGAACAATGAGTGCCTGGAGAGGGACCAGACAGGAGAAAGAACTCTGGAGAAGGAAGGATAATCCGGACCCAGAAGGAGGCCAGCCTTGAAAGGAGAGGTGCAGAAAGAGGAGCTCACAAAACAACTGGAAGGAAACAGTCAGAAAAGTACAACAGAGGAGTGTACATGTTATGGAGTTACAGGAAAAGGGAAAGAATTACATGAATAGAACTTTCTATAGGTTGAACAAGCTGAGTTACTCCTTAGTTATATACTTGGCTGGTTACTGATTCTAAAGGACATCCACAACCATCTGTCCTTGCAGTCACGATGTCTGCTGTCCTGTTAGCTTTATAAACAGTTGTTTGTAGGACATGCAGCTTTGACCCAGTGCAAAGGTTAGTTTGCCCAGTCCAAATACTCCAAAGGTTCAAGGAACAAGATGTGCAAGCAGGTCCCTTGGAATGGCTGCTCTGGCTCTATTTTATTACATTTTTTAAAATAATTTTTTATTTTTCAATTAGCTGACATACAATATTGCATTAGTTTCAGGTGTACAACCCAGTGCTTACACATTTATATAACTTACAAAGCAATCATCCCACTAAATCTAGTGCCCATCTGACACCACACATAGTTATTACACTACCATTGTTCTGCCTCTGTTTGAAAACGGCTCCATTTATGGTCCTGTTGGTTAGAGCGTCATCCTGCTACACCAAGGTTGCAGGTTTGATACCCAGTCAGAACACATACAAGAATCAACCAGTGCCCTGGGTGGTGTGGCTCAGTGGATTGAGTGTCCACCAGCGAAGCAAGGAGTCGCTGGTTGATTCCCTGGTCCCTGGGTGGCAGGGGCACAGGAGAGGCAACCACACATTGAAGTTTCTCTCCCTTGCCCTCTAAAAATAAATAAATAAAATCTAAAAAAAAAAAAAATCAACCAATGAATGCATAAAGAAGGGGAACAACAAATCTATGTCTCTCTCCCTGCTTCCTCTCTGTCTCTCTAAAACTCAATTAAAAAAATTAAAAGGTCTCCACTTATGTCAATTATTCACATGAATTTGTCTATTTCTTTTTATTTCTGTTAATTTTGTTATCTCTTTTTAAGCTATGTTATTTATTAGGTGCTAGACATCATGTACAAAATGCAGATAAAATTTGAGGCTCTGGATGACGGTAAGATTAATTCTGGTTTCTGGCAGGCAGTTAAGGTCTGGCCAGATACCCTTAATTTCCATAATTAGAAGGAAATTCTGATCAGATTGTGAATAAGATTATTTCTGACACACATATCTCCCCAATTTTAGAAAACGGGGCTGTGGCACTTATTCATGGAATGAAAGAGTGAATGAATTCATGGTTTGTGGACCAGCACTACATCCTATATTTGCTTCCTTTATTTGGTTTTCAAATAAGGCCTTAGCCTTTGTTAGTGCATCGCTAGTATAATACGAAAGAAGAAATAATAAAAGAAGTAATTCGTTTTGAAATGGAATCTGCAACTCCCAGGAATAACGGCCTGGGAAAGCAGGAAAAGATTTCTTGGAGCTGTGGGTAAAAATGGAAGGCACAGTCGGGAGTCGCCCCCTTTTGGTCAATAAGGTGAAAGCCCTCATCTCAGATTTTATTGCATTGTATTTGTTTGTTTTAAACATGGAATGCTTCACGAATTTGCCTGTCATCCTTGCTCAGGGGCCATGCTAATCTTCACTGTATCATTCCAATTTTAATATAGGTGCTGTCAAAGCGAGCACTCACCTCAGATTTGAATAATTTGTGAGACTGAGTCCTCTATTACCAATCGAACGCACGCAGAATTTCTTGAAACCAAAGAGAAGCAGTTTGCTAAAACTCATGGTGAGTCAGTGATGCTGCTGAGATGAAGAGCCAGGATCTTGGGGCTCCAAGGCCAGAGGCCACCAAGGCCAAGGACTGCCAGCCTTTACCTTATCCTCACAAATTAGTCCCCTGGAGATCTCAGACCTGCCCATAGCTTTGGGGAACCCTTAGCTCTAAAGAAATAGTTCGAATTTAACCTCCCAATGTATCATAAAAATATCGCATTTATCCAAAATTGACCATTTCAGCCATATATTCCCTCCCTCTGCCCCTTCCTTCCTACCTCCCTGCCTTTCTTCCTCCTCACATCCCTGCCTGCCTTCCGTCCCCCTCCCCCTCCTCTCTTTCTTGTCAGCCTGAGAAACTTAATCCTTAAAACCATTCATGAAACGATTAGGGAATGTCCCTTTGTTTTTAAACTATGTATTCTCTGATATCTTGATCTTTAGGGTGAAACATAATGAACAAAATGGAAGAATTACCATTTTTTACTATTTTGTGTCCCTGAGGGTTTAAACTGTAATTGAGATGATGATTTTTTGTCTGAAAGAACTTTGTGACAAGAATTCATCAAAATTATCTCGACTTTTTTTTTTATATAACTACTCTCCTACTGAGAGAAATTTCTACATTTTCCCAGCTGCTTCTACATCCAAGCATGGACCCAGAGTCATCTTAGGATTTTCATTATTCTTGGAGTTGATTCTTTTAGTTTGGAACAGGTAGGGCAAGTAGGCACTCGTTGCCTTGAGTGGGAAGTGGTATAAAGCTTTTTTAAAGGGCTAATGAAGGCTGCCCCTCCCTTAATACCTCTTGATGTGAATGGTTGCCTGGGAGAAAGAGTATAAACTTGTCTGACAAAAAATAAATTAAAATTAAATTAAAAAAATAAAATAAAATGCTAAAAATAAATAAATAAATTATATTTTTGGAAAAAAATCTTTGAAAACTCTGACATATGAAGAAAAAAAAAAAAACTTGTCTGACAGTGCAGGGGCCTCCTGGGGCCAAATTTTCCAGGCCCCAGTCCTCTCTTTCTTTGAGATTCAAAGACAGAAAAACCCTTTGGGACAGATGAAGGATCCTTTGACAGAAAAGGATACCAAAGTCCCTGAGGAAAAATTCTGTGAAAGAAATCTGAACTGGAGGCCAGGGGCACGGGGGTGGGAGGGTGGGGAGGTGGTTAGGAGGCGTCAAGGAGCTTAGTGAGGATTCAAGGAGGGCACACCTGGAGGGTCAAGGGGGAATGTCCCCAGGTAAATATTAGTAAACTGTATTGGGCAGCATTCTGTTAAAGTTGGCTAGGACTCCTGTTCAGGTGAAGGTGTTCAGGAGAGTCTTGTTATAATGATACACGCTTCCTCCGCATCACACCTGGAAGAAAATGTCAAAGGTCAATGTGCAGCTGAATGGAGAGCTTCTCAGGGCCACTTGACAAAGGCCATGGATTTGCAGTCTCCTCTCTTAGCAGAATGTATTTTGCACATCCTCTTATGAGCCCTTTCGTCAGCCATATTCTTTATGTTATGTAAACTATTCATCTGTTTGTACTAATAGATGTGTGAGTTTGCAACCCAGTGACCTGGAAAGTTCTGCGTTCATTATTCCTGGGTCTTGGGCCTGGGATGAGTCTTCATGGCACCATGTGCCATTTTCTGCCCAGGGTGTGACTGAGGAGGAAGCTCTGTATCCAACTGCTGGACATACCAGCATGATTCAAGAGAGCTTGAAAGGCTGCCCGAGAGGGTGGCCTTAGGGATCCAGGCCAGGCCTCTGCAAAAAGAGCAAGTGCCCACCCAAGAAGGAAAGGCCATGGTCAACAGCAACACTGAGGGTGCTTCAGAGCACTGGTGGACAAATCACCTCTCCTGTTCTCTCTGCAGTGACATTGACTCCCACGGACCCAAGTGATTGCACCCCTGAGGTTCCTAGACATTTCAGGGAGGAAGGGAGAGGCCTTGAAATGGAGACAGTGGATTTCTTGTCCATACGGACATGCAGGTGCTCCAAGAAACTAATTGGGAAAATTAGAGACCTGTGTGTGTCCCTCTAACTGTATGTGGTTGAAGCAGGTCAAGTTAAGTACAAAGTCTCTTAATTTGACTCATTTATAGTCCCCAAAATCAATGTCATACCTTTCTTGGACCTGCTGCCCTCTTTGTGCATATGGCCCTGGGATGAAGCTGGTACCATCCTCAAGTTCTCTGCCTTCAGGGAACCATGTTCAGACCTCGTCTCTTCCTCAGAGGCTCTGCTGAAGGGTGGGCATTTTGCAGCCACGTTTTGAATCACATTACTCAGTTTCATCACTCTGGCCCCAGCTGATTGGGCCAGGGATGAGACACTGGCCCAAGGCTGACAACCCTTGAGCTGGTCGGTGAACTATACCACCTGGCACTAAGAGATGAGCTTCAGGCAAAGTGATGGTCTTAAACATTTTAACTGAGATATATAGAGAATGAGATATGGAGAAATTGGGATCTTCCTATCCTACTGGTAGAAATGTAAACTGGTGCCTTGGCTGGTGTGACCCAGTGGATTGAGCACTGGCTTGCAAACCAAAAGGTCACCAGTTTGATTCCCAGTCAGGGCACATGCCTGGATTACAGGTCAGGTCTCCGGCTGGGAACATGCAAGAGGCAATAGATTGATGTTTCTCTTCCTTTCTTTCTCCCTCCCTTCCCCTCTCTAAAAGTAATTAAAAAATAAAATCTTTTTTTTGCCCTGGCTGGTGTTGCTCAGTGGATTGAGTACCAGCCTGTGAACTAAAGGGTCACTGGTTCAATTCCCAGTCAAAGCACATGCCTGGGTTGTGGGCCAGGTCCCCAGTGGGGGGCACTTGAGAGGCAACCACACATTGATGTTTCTCTCCTCCTCTTTCTTCCTCCTTTCCCGTTCTCTCTAAAAATAAATAATTAAAGTCATTTAAAAAAATCTTTTTAAAAAAAGGAAATGTAAAATGGTGCTACCACTTTGGAAGACAGTCTAGCAGAGTTACCATATGATCCAGCAATTCCAATGCTAGGTACGTACCCAAGTGAAGTGAAAACATATGTCCACACAAAAATGTGTATGCAAATGTTCCTAGCAGCATTATTTATAATAGCCAAAAAGTAGGAACAAATGTCATAAACTGATAAGTGGGTGAATCAAATGTGGCATATGCACACTCTATGTGTTATTCAGCAATAAAAAGGAGTGAAGCACTGATACGTGCTACAAGACGGATAAACCTTGAAAACATTATGCCAGATGGAAGAGGCCAGTCACAAAAGACCGTGTATTATAGGATTCCATTTATATATAACATCCAGAATAGGCAAAGCTATAGAGACAGAAAATAAGTTAGTGGTTCCAAGGGCTGGGGGGGCAGGGAGCTTTGGGGGCATGGGGAGTAAATCCTAAGGAGTAGAGGGTTTCTTTTTAGGGATGATGAAGTGTTCTAAAATTGATTGTGATTATGGCTGTGCAGCTCCACAAGTATTCTAAGAATCATTAAATTTTACACTTTACATTGATCAATTGTATGACATGTGACTTATATGGAAGGCTGAAGTTTACAAAAAGGTCTATAGAGAATGAAACAGTGAACAGTGTAAGAGGAAGGTGAAAGATTCAGATGAGACCATGTGTAAAGAGAGACCACGCTGCCGGCCGTGGAGAGCCTGTGGAAGCCACAACTGGGGGTGTACAGACGCTGTATCTCTAGGGCGGGACTGAAGGAGGAGGTCGGTGATAAGGTCTTCTAAAGCTGTATCATTTTACTGTTACCAGTGCAGCTGCTGCCCTGTCTGAAGACTCCTCCATGGCTTCGTAGAACTCGGCCTCACATAGCTGTAAGCCAGAAGCAGCCTGTCCTGTCCTCCAACAGCCTTCTGACTCGAGAGCTCATGCCACTGTTTACTCCCGCACTGTGGTGATCATTGGAAGTAAACAGTTCCAAGAAGGTATAGCTCATAGAGAACCACATTACAGATATTCCTGGCAACTTGTCCACTGTGATCTCCCATGTACCATCAGGTGATTCCCCACCCAGGCCTTTTTGCTGGAGGTCTCTCTATTCTGCCATACTCTTCTAGTCTTGCTGGGAAAGCAACACACGGATGGGTGGTGTTGTGAGGCTGAGCACACACACCTTTGAGGCTGCAGGTCATGAGCTGGCCCTTGTGTCCTGTCTAGCATGACATCCACCACCTAGGACTGGGTTGACTTACATTTCACTTAGAAATGTATAAAGGGGTATCCTTTCTGTATCTTGGTTTGGAATTAGACTGTCCCTCTTAATCACTACACTTCCATGTGCATAATGCTGAGGGACCCTGACGGGGACTGCCCTGGTTAGGTACCAACCGCCAGGGCATTAAGGGTCAGTGGGCCCCTACAGCCCCTGCTTCTATATTCCTCTGTGTTTACCAACTGTAGCCGCCAGCTCCCTGTCCATGCTGCTTCTGGTTCTCCCTTTGCTGAGATCATTCTCCCTGGAATGGCCAGAGGTCGCCAACTTAAATGCTTCCCTGATGGCATCACCCGCCCTCATTCCTGTGTCCTCATCACTGGGGGGAGGGAAGAACAGAGCAATCGCAGGAAGAGCCAGCAGCTAGTCCAATGGCAGACACTGGGTCACTCTGGATCCATGCTGCCCTTCAGCCCTGCTCCCCTCAAGGCCTGGTCTGGGCGTTTCCTGGGTTCCAGGACCCAAAGATCTTTGCAGTAAACCCTATTGCTTGAGATCCTTTGCAGGGGGAGTGGAGGTGTCTTCGTGTTCCCTATTCTTTGCAATTGTAAAACCCCTGCCTAGAATGCACTGTATAAAGATGAGCAGGAGGTAGCAGAGATGGATAACGATGGCAGAGAGAGAAAGCTGAGCGATGTGCCATCACCCCTCCCTGGCCTCTGCCCAGGTACCATCCTGAGG